CCAAGCCAGCAGTCCTAGAACGAATCTGTGGTGGGAAAAAGACGCTCAAGGAGGCAGCCACGACACAAAATCAGTGGGAAAAAACGGGCAGTGCCTCAAACCGATTCTTATCTTCCTTTTCCTGGTTCTCCCCCCCCCCACCAGGCTTACAAGCAAAACAGAGCGAACTGCACATGGAGGCCGAATTCCCCACGGTCAGCGAAATAGCAAAGCACGACGAGCGCCCACGCATCTCCGGGTTCGAGGACCTGGCGTTTGGCTCGCTGGCCGGCATGGCAGGCAAGTTTGTCGAGTACCCGTTCGACACAGTCAAGGTGCGGCTGCAGACCTCCGAGTCGCAGGTGTTCTCGGGCACGCTAGACTGCCTGAAGCAGACATGGCAGAACGAGGGCTTCCGCGGGTTCTACCGCGGCCTGGCATCGCCACTGCTGGGCGCCATGGCCGAGAACGCCGTGGCCTTCTACGCCTACAACCGCATCCAGAGCATCATCCGCACCGCAACCAACAACACTGGAAGCGAGCTGACGCTGCCGCAGCTGTTCCTGAGCGGCGGCCTCTCGGGCACCATCTGCGCCTTTGTCATATCGCCGGTGGAGCTGGTCAAATGCAAGCTGCAGGTGGAGAATGTCCAGGCATATGGCGGAGCAGCCAGCACGGCCAATGTGAAGTTTACGGGACCGATTTCCGTGGTCAAGCACTTGCTCAAGACCCAGGGCATTGCAGGCATCTACAAGGGCATTACGCCGACTGTGGCCCGCGAGACCGTCGGCGTGGGCTGCTGGTTCGGCGCCTACGAGGTCGTGGTCCGCCAGCTGATGCGCTCGCAGAACAAGGCGCAAAAGTCAGACCTTGGTCCCGGCAGCATCATTCTGGCCGGCGGATGCGCAGGCGTTGCCTACAACATCTCGTCGTACCCGATCGACGTCGTGAAGTCCTTTATCCAGACCGCCGATGTGCGGGCCACCGCTGGTGCTCCTGAGCGGCCAGGCATTGCCAGCACCATCCGCACAGTCTATGGCCGCGGCGGCATCCGGGCCTTCTACCGCGGCCTTGGCATCACCCTGGTGCGGGCCTTCCCAGCCAACGCCGCCATGTTCATGACATACGAGTACCTGTCTCGCCTGTCCATCGAGCTGCGCCAGAAATAGACACATAGAATGGACCTTTGTTGAATTTGTAATAGTGACTCATGGGAAAAATATCTCAGGCAGAGGCCAGAGCTAGCGGTGCATCGGCCGCGTTCGTGAGCTGGATCTCGGGGTGGAACTGGTAGTACAGCTCGCCAACGTCCTCGAGCGGGTACGGAACCCAGCCGTTCTCGTTGACCCAGTACATGCGCACAACACCTCCCGAAAACGCATCGCGGTGTGTCGCATGGTAGATGGCGCGACGGGCCAGATCCTTGGCCTCGTCGACCGACATGTCATACCTGTACTTTGAGTCCAGCACGCCGTAGGCAAACGTCGACCCGGATCCAACCGAGAACAGATCGTTGGCTACCCGCTGGCCCTCAGAGTCCACATAGTACAGCCCCGGGCCCTTCTCGTCCCAGCCAGCAACCATGGTCCCCATAGACAGCCCCATGCCCTTGTACCGGTACACCAGGTTTGCCAGCAGCTTCGACGCCGCCGCAACCGAGATCCGCTTCTTGTTGCGCAGCTCATACAGCCGGCACTCCATCCCCAGCACGCGCTCCCAGAACGAGCAGTCCGCTGCTCCGCCTGCCATCGTGCCCAGCAGGTACGGGTTGATCTCGATGACCTTCTTCACCGACTGCGACGCAATAACGTTGCCCGCCGTCGCCCGCGAATCCGTCGCAATCATCACGCCCTCCTTGAACTTGAACGCCAGTGTCGTGGTTCCGTGCGCAATTTTAATGCGAGCGTCATTCTCAGACTTCACATCAGTGAACTTTTGCGTGAACGCCGCTGGGTTATCCACTCCAGCCAGCTCAAACTGCAGCCCGTGCCCTGTGGTGTCCACTGCCGTGCTGAACTCTGTGTCGAGCTCGCCGTTGTTTGTCAACTGGTCAATAAAGCGGTTCATTGCTGTTATAGTTGGGGGAAAAAGTGAGTAGAGTGAACGATTTTGCAAAAAGGAGAGAAATTAGTCAATTGCAGCATCAAGCCCTCGACGCGCGGACGGCTCTGAGGCATACGTAGGCATTACGCACGTCCTTGATCACGATCACCCACCCTTGATTTATTTGTCCGCCTGAACCATTGCGAGCGCTGGATACCATGACATACCAAACCCCTGCTGCACTTGGCTCTCTCACAATGTATACTCAAACGCTGTCAAGGTCATCTGGGATTTCAAATGCCTTGTTGAATACAGATGTCTCCATGTTGAACTTGTCGCGAGCCCAGCCTTGGATAATAAAGATGTTGTCGGTCCATCGATTAGCAGCATCTTGGGCCACCACAGTCTCCTTGCGGCGCTGGTTCATCAGCTCCGGATCGCACTCCTTGAACTGCTGCAGCTCCTCCTGCTGCAAATTCCACCTGGCCTCGATCTCCGCCAGTTCCTCCATCAATGATGCCCGCTCGTCAGTCTGCTCACGCCCAAACTGCGCCTTCTCGATCGATGACCCCAATGCCTCGATCTTGCCGTCAACTTGCGCGATCTCCTTCTCCAGGTCGGCAATTCTGTTGCGTCGCTTGATTGCTGCCTCGCTTGGGAACGACCAGAAGTAGTTTGATGAGCCAATCTTCTCGGCATGGCACATGCCGTCGTCCACCAGTGACTGCACCACGTCCTTGACTGTCTGCGCGACGATTCCCTTTTGCTTCGGCCCGATCTTCTCCAGCTCCTTGAGAAGGAACACATCTTGCTACAGGTGCTGGGTTGCGCATGGCTTTAAGTGCATGCTCTGTATTCAACAGCTAAAGCATACGCCAGCTGCAGCCTCTGATACTCACCGACTCGTGGAATATGTCCATCATGCGCTTGCGCTTCTCGTCAATAGTCAACCGCGGTCCCTACAACAAAGCGAGCATGCAGTGAGCGTGCGTGCCCTAAGGGTCCCCTCGTGCGGAAACAAGGCGTTCGCCGAATTTCGCTCGTTACCATTGCTATTCAATTTGCGCTAAAAGTGAAAAATAAAAAAGACGGAGCCAAGATGGGGGTCGAGCAGCAGCAGCTACGCGAATCCAATGTATCTCGAGAGAAAAAAATACGGCGACTGCGGAAAAGCTCGGATGCCCTTTTTGTGCACTCAACGCCTGCGCTTTTTGGAGGGCCCTGACATGCCATCAAACGACTCGGAGTTGACGCCCAGCGACCGCTTGCCTCTGGCCTGGGAAGTATAGCCCGTCGGCGCAGACGCAGACTCTGCATTGCCGTCGCCCTCCTCCTCTTGCCTAGGCTTAGCTACAAAGGTATAGACATGCGGCTCCTTGTCGCGAATCTCCTGGTTCTCGTCCTTGGACAGCCCTTCCTTGAAGCCCAGGGTGCGCCGGTGCTCGTATCCCGAATAGGCCGCAATCTCAAATGGATGCGTGCTGCGCGCACGTAGGCCGCATTCCTTGGCCAGCTGGCGGACATTCCAGTGCGAGTACGGCGGACCGGACTTTAGCGATACCAAGATCTGCCCGGGCCGGTTCAGGTTGGGCTCAAACGGCTCTCCCTCACCAGCATCCTCCACCGGCCCCTCGTCGTCCTCGTCGTCAGAGGCAGCATACGTGACAACGTGGGCCTTGGCACCCTCAAAGTCAAACGACTCCTGCTGCTGCTCGTCCTCCTCTTCGTCGTCATCGTCGGACTGGTCGCCCTTTGGCCTCCGTCTCTGGCGCCTCTGCGGCCTGCTCTGTCTTGTATCAACACCCTCCGTCAGGAACTGAATCGCACTGCGGAAGAACCCGATCATCAGCAGCTGGTTCGTCTGGATATTGCGTGCCTGGTCTTTGATCCCAGCTCCAGCGTGAGGGAAGTTGAAGACAATATGCGTGAACTTTCGGCCGCTGAGCGCTTCAAAGTCTTCGAGTGCTGTTCCGTCAACCTCATAGTGCGTGGTGCCGCCCAGCTTCTCGAACTCGGTAATGTGGTGGCTCGCGTCGTCTGTGTATTTTCTGTCAACGATCTCCCGCGAGTCATAGGCGGTTGCAGTTATATTCTTGCCGCTACCCAGGCGCCTGGCCACGGCATGGGCGAAGCTAAAGTTGCCTTCGCCGACCAGGAGAATGAGGTCCTTGTCGGTGTATGGAAAGTAGGCGGTGCGCTTGTGCTTTTTCTTGTTGCCGCGCTTGCTCTGCGTTGCACTGGCCAGCTTCTGCTCGATCTGGTCCTGTGTGCGTTTTGCTGCCTGGTGCTTGGCATGCGCCTGCTTGGTATGCTTGAGCGCAGCCTTCAGCTTGCTCTTCTTTGCCATTAGCTAATGTAAATTTTGGTGACTGAAAGGCGAAAAGAGCCAGGGTCTCTGGTGGGCCAGCAAGCAAGAACCACAGCGAAACCCGATTTTTTATATTACGAGATCAGGGATTAGCCTGGCCAAAGGCTCTCAGTAATCGCCTGCTGTTTTTTCTTTGCACAGCTGCGATCTCACCCACTTTGATACTTCCAGCCTTTATCTCTCCTCATTCACAACCCCCTCTCTACAAAAACAGCAAGCAATTAGACAAAAATGTTTGGCGGCGTTTTCGGTGGCAACAGTCAAAAGCCTGCTCCGGCTGCTCCGGCAAGCCCCATGGGCGGCATGGGCGGAATGGGCGGTGCGCCCGGCGGACAAATGGATCCCAACGCACAGCTGGCGGCAGCCGAGCAGGAAATGGAAATGGTCACAGACATGTTTGCGCGGCTGGGCGAGCTGTGCTACCAAAAGTGCCTCCTGCAGCGCTACAGCGACGAGGAGCTGACAAAGGCCGAGTCCGTGTGCACCGACCGCTGCGTAGCAAAGTATTTCCAGGTCAACCGTGAGGTCAGCGAGAAGCTGGCCAAGTACTCGCAGGCTAACCAGCAATAAGACTTGTTTCTTGAGCCGGGAATAAAACATATAAAAACTCTTATTTTTTGCCCCGCGCTTCCTGCCTAATGTACGGCGTCACCTCTATGGTGTTGAACGGCTGCGGCAGGCCGTCGACGATCTGTAGCCGCTCGTTCAGCGCCTGGTTGGCATCGTCGTAGTGCTGGTACGAGACAAACACCATGCCTGATCGGTCGTGGGTCACCGGATCCTTCATAAACCGGAAGTTTGTGACCGAGCCATACTTTTTCATGTGGTTAAGCAGCACCAGCGACTGCTGCATGCTTGTCACCCCGGCGACGTTGTGCTTGACCACCAGGTCCCGAACCAATTGGAATGCCTTCATTTTCTAGTGTGCAGATATTGTCAAGTAAAAAAAGTGGGGGAGGAGCAAAAGAGGAGAAAAAGTGCGAATGCTGGTATTCGGAGGGCACTAAGCTATTTCGAAATAGCTGTGAGCATGTCGTCGTCTTCGATCTCAGTGTCAGCCAGGGCCACTCCAGGCTCCAGCCGCTCGTCGTCAAACTCTAGCACAATGGTCGTGCCCTCTGGCAACTTGGCGATCTGGCGGTAGTGGTCAATAATGGTTTGCACCACCGTTGTCGGAGCCACCCGCAACAGCGTATCCTTGCCCTCACGATCGCGGATCTTGATCCGGATCGTACCAGCGCCATCCTGATCTCCACTGGCGGGTGTGTCAGCCTGCAGGCTCTCGTCCAGCTCCGCCATTGCCTCGGCCTGGCTCAAAACACTAGTATCCACATTATCTCCATACAGCTCCCGCATCTTCTCCCGCTCGCTCTGCGCCTGCCGGTACTCAGTTTCGCGCTGCATCCGCTCGACAGTCTCAGACGCCTTGGCCCGGCTGAACACGTTGCGCGGGTACACCTTAATGTAGAAGATCGGCTTGGCCCCCAGACTCAGCACCGAGCTGGTTGGAAACACTCGGATAGAGTCGCTCATCAGGATCGGGCTCGTCCGCATCACGTCCACAGCAAAGTTGCTCGCGTACACTCTAAGCGCCTTTTCGATCGGATCTGTCGCAAACACCTGGATCGCCAGCCGCTCGCGCAGCTTCTTGTCAACCGCCTTTTTGTTGGTGATCCGCGTCCGCCTCCACCGCGTCTTGTCCCACAGCGCTGGGAGCTCAGTGTCCATGAATGCCTCGTCAAAAATAAAGTCAAACTCTAGCGTCACCTTCTCTGCAAGCTTCATGGCTGGCGATAGAGCCACCTCTGACGATGGCTGGACGTCGCCCTGGAGAAACCTTGACTCGCGAGGTGATCCTGTGCTGCTGCCATCGCCATTACCGGTCATAATCGCTGCTCGCAGTGCTGGGTCCAGGCCAGATAAATCGGCTGGCTGCTGGTGCGACCGCGGCGGGGTCGCCATAGCCGGCACGGATATTGTATCAACATCGACTACTGACATCCGCCTTTTTGTTAGCTGCCGCTTCTCAGGCTGCTCTGGTGGCGGCGTGAGCGACACACTGCGTGCCCGTTTCCGTACCTCCTGCTCCTCATCCCCACTCGACTCTAGCATGTGCTTGTTTGTTTGGCTAACGCTCGATTCCTCATCTCCGCTGGTGTCGCTTTCGTCCAACAGCAACGAGTCGCCAATATCTATGTAACCGCTGCTCTGGGTCGGAACCTGTGACGACTGCTCCCCTGTGCTTGCTGCTTCAGCAGGCCCGCGCCGACGAAAAAAGCTCTCGTCCTCATCGTCCTCTTCTTCCGACTCGCTGCTGCCAATTTCCACCCGAGTAGGCAGTGGCCGACTCACTCGCCGAGGCTGCACTGCAATTCGCGGCTGCACTTCAATTCGCGGCTGCACTGTCTCTTCAACCTCCGAGTCAGAGATAACATAGGACATGGTAAAAATAGAAAAAATGGCTGAATAAGTTTGTGACTTGTGTCTCCATTTTTTACAGCCCGCATATTTAGCGTCATGGTGTCGTTGTTCGGCATTTTGGTATTCGCCAACTAGGATCAGCAGCCGCCATTCAGCCACTCGTTTTGGCGGAAATACACCAAGCCTGAGCAATATACGTTCACACATCGTACATAGCATGCTGGGAGAATCAGCAAGGCATGTTCATATAAAATGCAAGCAAACAACCTACTGCCACTTGGGCTAGCACATCATCGACAACTGAAACAATGCAGCTGCTCATTACCACCGCTAGCCCAGTCCCCTCGCCTACCCACGACCCGACCATAATGCCAATCTACTGTCCGCCATGCCGCTGTGGCCCCTGCATGTATGATGCTGTTGAAGCCAATGGCAACCTGGCCGACGAAAGTCTTGCGATGCCCCCTCGCTGTATCCCTCTTCCACTCATGTGCCCTGAGGAAAGTACCATCGCCGCGCCCAACCCCCCGGTCGCAGCTGTGTAGCCAGTTTCACATAATTTGAATAAAGCAATCTCCTTGCTGGCGCTGCCAACGAAACACCTTTTAAGGGAGAGCACATACTAGCGCTCAGCCATTATCCTGGTGCTGGTATAGTATGACAGGAGAGGTACTAGGAATGAAGCCGGCCATTGCACCAATAAGTTAAGCAAGAAAAGCACAGCATTCTTTGTCATCGCAGCAGCAGGGTTGTCAAATGGATTTCGCGCGTGCAAGCAAATGCGTGTGAACAAGTGCTGGCACACTCCGGTTCCATTCAGCTAATGTGGCGTGGGATAAAAAAGCAGTAAAATCATTTGCATATGTATAGATATTTTCAAGTTCCGACAGACAAGTCGATTAGCAGGTTGGCTGCGATTCGGCGCTTCTGTGGGCTCTATGGTCTAGAGGTATGATTCTTGCTTTGGGTGCAAGAGGTCCCGAGTTCGATCCCCGGTGGAGCCCCTTCTTTTTTGGAAAAATTTTACTGCTATTTTGAAATGAAAAGCAAAATAATGTCGACCACGCCAGGACTCGAACCTGGAATCGCTTGATCCGTAGTCAAGCGCCTTATCCATTGGGCCACGCGGCCATCGACACGCAATTTCTGAATTAGGTAGAAAAATGTAGACTATTTAAAATAACTACTTTGTGTACACTTGGTATCTCCCTGTCGCACAATCGCCAGCTGTCTACCCAGTTCTATAGGGAAGGACACCAAGTATATCTATTATACTTGCCAATATAAAATTTTAATTATCTAAGCATTAAGAATCACTTGAATATTATTATTATTATTATTATTATTATTATTATTAGTATATTTTTAAGCATAGTATATATTGTTATTACTAGTTTTATAAATAGTTCTTAGCCTAATATAAGTCTTAAAACTAAGGGGATAAAAAAGGGGATAAAAAATGCTACCTATTTTTTTAGTATATTTTAATACTAAAGAAAGGAAAAGAGAGTATAAAAGTATAAATACTATATACTAGCCTTTTTAAAGATTTTACTATTTTATAGTATCTGATATCATTAGTAAAACTAGGGTAGAAAGCTATAATTATAGTAGCTATAGACCTCTATTAGATATAGGAGGTTATACAGAGTTAGTTTTCTACCTATAAATTATTTAAGCATATTTTAACTATTAGCAATTTCAGTGAAATAAATATTTCACCTAAGCTGTTATTAGTATCTTAGAAAAGTTTCAGTAAATATAATTTCAACCAGAAAGAAAAAGCTTTGTATATTTAGGGTTAGTTATCTTTAGGTAACAAAAGTCAATATCTTAGTAGATATAACTAAGTAACTATATAGAAATTATATTTACTAAAACTTTTCAAAAATGCTGATAGTTGTTTAGGTGAAACAGCAAGAAAAATATTATTATCTTGGTAATTGTTTATAAGCATAGAAACATTCTGGATACAATAATTAATAATAACTATACTGAAAATATTAGTAGCAAAAAATTGTACTGAAAATGAATATTCAAATAACTAACTAAATTACAATTTACTAAAATTTATAAGTCTAAGAATGACCCCCCTTAGATAAGCAAATAATCAAGCAGGTGTTTATTGCGAAAACATATGAGCAGCTTAACAAGATTAATGCAGCAAAGAGAGCAGTAACTAAGGCAAAGAAAACAGCAGAAAAGGGCAAAAAATTGGCTAAGAAGGCTGCATGCGAAGCAGCGAAGATTCCATCAGATGAAACAGAGGCCACAGCAGCAACTGCAGCAGTAGCGGCTGATTCACTTGCTGCTGCACTTAACAATGCATATATACCAGCACCCCCAGTCTGTGCATATGACCTAGTCTAAGGGATTACACAATCTGTGTGGGATGTGTGGGGTCGGGTCGCAGATCTAACATCAAATCCATTTAAGGCGCATGGTGATAGAAAATTCCATGGAATGGCGACAACAGATAGTGTAACGATATGCATTTTGTTGCAAGACAAGGTACCTAAGGCTGGTGCTGCAGGAGGCGATGCTACAGGCGATGTTGCAGGAGGTGGTGCTGTGGGAGGCAATACTATAGCTGATTGTTGCTATATCCACCAAATCCCACAGCCAGAGCTGCAGAATCTGAATGGCCGCTGTGTATTCATTGATCCAGGTCGGGGCGATTTACTGTATATGATGCACAAAAACAACAGCAATGGGAAGGAGGGTGAAAAATGCTCTACTGCTACACACGGCAGCAGCGCAATAAGGAGCTCAAGCTGCGCCACTATGACAGGATTTGTCGGGGTACAAAGGATCAAGTCCCAGAAGATGCTGTCCGCAGAGCAGAGGCAGAGCTTTCCAAGCACTGCTGCCGGACCCTTAGCCCAGCAAAATTCCATGCTTACACTACTGCCTGTGCATCTGTGCGGTGGGTCCTAGCACCGTTTTATGCTAACACGATGACAGCGCGAAGGCTACCAGAGCAGCAACCCACTATGTCAAACAAGCAGCACCAGAGGCGCTGGAAGGCCCATCCAGGTGTCAGTACCAGTCCCAAGGTGTACCCGTTTCACCGCAAGCTGCGCCTTGATTCATTCATGAACCAGGCCCGTGCAGACCACAGGCTTGCCGCGAAACTCCGGGGCAAGTTCGGTCCAGACCCAGTGCTGATCATGGGCAATTGGAGTGCGGCGATGACCCGACACCATGCGCCGATTCGTGGCAAGGGATGGCGCGACAAGTTCAAGCACCATGGCTTTGAAGTCTATCTGATCGACGAATTCCGGACATCGTCGATGTGCCCGTTCTGCTGCGAAAGGTCGCTGCAGACATTCCGGCATGTTCCCAACCCGCGGCCCTACCAGAGATCGAAGAACCCAACTGTGAAGTGCCATGGCCTTCTCCGCTGTACAAGCGAGTCACGCAAGCGGGCCATGGCACAATACAGGCGGGCCTATTCGTCTCGGCTCTTGAACCGCGATCTCGCAGCAGTTCTAAACTTCAGGCTCATTTTCCAGTCACTCTGTGATTCAGGCAGTATTCCTGAACGGTTCTGTCGCTCTACAGCCATTGCTACCGATGCTTCTGGCACCACTCCGGCTACAAAGAGGCCGCGCAAGAGGCGTGCAGCAGCAGGCTATCAAGATGGGAGATACCCATGATCGCCATTGCACCAACAACCATCCGACATGTTCAAATGACCGGTTCGTCGTGATGCTCTTATCGACATACCAACCCATGGTGACTAGCAGCCGAGCTCGCACCATGAGCAGAGTAGTTCTAGTATAAGAATAATATAGTAGTCATACTCTATAGCTTGAACTATAATAAATTTGAATAATAGCTCATATATCAATAGACTTGCATGCAATAGTAGTAGTGGTAGAATTGGGCCTTATGAGAAACAGAGTCTTTAAGGTGCAGTCATCGCCACTGGATTGAGCCAGGTCCAGAGTTCTGGGACGAATAGTAATTGCAAGTGATAATTGGCGTTGTGTTTTCTGTTGAATATCTATCATTCGTATTTTTTGAAACTCAGCAGTTGGAATTGCAGAATGGTTCCGCCGCTGTGGCCAAGTGGCTAAGGCGTCGCTCTTGTAAAGCGAAGATCCGGAGTTCAACTCTCCGTAGCGGCATATTTTTGCTCAACCATCTAGCTATCACGTGATGTTTTATTGCTGGTGTTTTTTGCTTGCCATGTAGAGTATCGGCCGCAAAGGTTGCATTGCCATTGCTTGCTGGTCCAGCTGCATGGTTTTTTTTGACGGCTACAATGCTTCAGGAGGTGTCCATCTGGAGTGCGATATTATTATGTTCGATGTTAGGAATTAAACTGCTATGTTGTTGCAATCCTGGTGTCTTTTGGTCATCAGGCAATAGCAACATTGCTAATGCGGTACGTGAGGTCGTTAACATCTCGGTTATCCAGAGCACCTCTAGCCGCGTATGCTGCCATTTCATTGGCCCTATCAATCCCTACATTACGCGAGTTCTTGCGGATATGGTCCACACTAACCAGCAACCCGCTCTGTCTTGCCTCAGTCACGATATCCGCAATTAGATCCTGATTCTTGACCGGTGCTCCCGAAGCTGTCTGCCATCCGTTACGAACCCACTTTTGGTAGCCAGCAGTAAGACAGAAAATGACGTACGAAGACTTGGTATAGATCTGCACAGGCCGTCTCTGCATGCCCGCAGGGATCTGCTCCTTGGCTGCCAACTGAATTGCACACAGTACTGCTGCCAAATCTGCCCGCTGGTTTGTCTGTCGAGGACCTTCCAGTGCTCCCTGTCGGTTACGAGGATCGCTGAATCCAAAGTACACCCCAAATCCACCCTGTGCCACCTCTCGGCCATTCCCACGACATACACCGTCAGCATACACCTTTAGGCTATTCCTTGCCTCCGCACTAGTCGAGATCTGGAGCTTGTCAGGCATGCAGTGGCTCTCGGTACCCATTCCGAAGTACTTTTCAGCTGCTGCAAGCGAGGTAAACCCCTTCAAATAGCCTCGCGGAAACCGCAAAGTCTGACGCTGCGCATCCCAATAGCTAGAGTAGATACCAGGCGACCGGCCCACCTGGACAACGTAAAACCTATTTCTAGCCATCGCGATTCAATAAAAAATAGCGGAGTACCAAGTGGAGTAAGGACGATGGAGAAGAGCGAGCTCGATTTCAACACTGGTGGCCCTGATGTATGCGTCCGACAAAGGCAATGGTAAATGGTGTGTGGCTTATCAAGCTCAACCAGCCGCTGCAGCTCCGGGTTAGGGCGTCAGAGCTGGTGCCACGCTGTATTCCAGGCCCTTTCAGCTGTGGTATGTCCTGCAAATCAGGCTGCGACACCTCGAGAAGCAGCGGCAATCTGCTATGATTCTTAGCACCCTGTTGGTGTCGCCAGCGTCCTAATCATATTTCGAAAGAGCTCTAATTGTCTTTCTGATACTATCCGTCATCTCTTGACACCTGCCTGCAGACTATACACATTGTGCCGATTATTTGTGGTGTTCTGGTCACATCTCTTACAGGCAATGGTATGGAGTGTTTATTGAACCACGCAAAAAGGATAAACAAAAGTTATTGTCAACGACGTGCGTAGTGGGGCTACTCGTCATAATAAATCGCGCGGCAATGACCAACATGATATACTTTGGTCACTTCCTGCTCTTCGCGCCTTTTCCGGGTATCTTCAGCAACTTTTACAGCAAGAGTCCTGGCAGCGATAAGGCATTCGTTGTAAGACTCTTTGTATACGTGCCGCAAAGAAACCAGCAGCCCGCTCTTTCTGATTTTGGCCATGATGGTTTCAATCACATCCTGGTTTGCGACTGGACTCCCTTCAGAGTTCCTCCAACCGTTTTGGATCCATTCGCCGTAGCCTGTTTCCAGGCAATAGACTGCGTATTCCGACTTGGTATAGATGACTAAGGGGCGTCTACGTGCATTCGCTGGAACTGGTTCCTCGTTTACAACTTTGATCGCCAAGTAGATAGCCCACAGGTCCGCGCGTTGGCTCGTCTGGCGCTGGTTGCTTATTATTCCTTGTGTGTTGCGGGAGTCTTGATGCCCAAAGTATGCACTACATCCAACTTGCGGGTTATTGCCTCCGTTGTCGAGACATACGCCGTAGACATAAATCGGCAGATAGCTCCCGGCCTCCGTCCAGGCAGGAATAAACATCTGATTGGGTGGAAAATAGCTTCTACCACCGACCCCAGCGAAGGCTTCAGCATCCTTCAGATACATGAAGCCCTTCATTTGTCCGTGAGGGAACTGGAAAACTTGGCTAAGCGCAGCCACGTGGTCCGAATACACGCCAGGAATGCGGCCAACTCTAACTGCATAATAGTTTTTGACCATCTATGTAGCCGCTGGTCAAGAAAGAGTATAAAAATGGTGGGAAATGCAATAACGAGACAAGAAAAACTGAAGACAGGATTGTCCAGACAACAGACACACGGGCTCCAAAAGAACCTGAAGTGCGATCAGCTTGGGCAAGACAGGTGATCATTTGATATTTGGCCGCCATTTTTCCATTTTAGTGCAAGTTTAGTTTGTCGCCAATATTACGTGCCCCACAAAAGTGCCCTTTCTGGTAAGGAAACACTGGCGTCTACAAGCACCCACTTGCAGTGTCCTCCGCTGGTGTTGCGGCAGTTAATCTTGTTAACCTTCAGATAGTCCAGTAGTTATGAGTTTTATGGAATGAATATGATTGGAAATTGCTGAGGAGAAGGAATGATGGGACCGGAACGACCCACAATGTTTATATAGATGGGGATTTTGATCTGCCCATGGTGACGAAGGACATGGAATTGCCCGATTGTCAACAAATCTCCCTAGTCGATAGAATGACCATAGTTACTTTTAGCTCGCTTTGTTATTCTCCTGGCATCCAGCAGGTGTGGTTGTAAATGGGCGACATCTGGCGGTGTCGGATTAGAAGCAGACGGCTTTTGCATATTTCTTCCACTGCTAGTCGGTTCTCCGATTTGACTAGTGGCAAATGTGTGAGGTATTACTTGTAGAAAACTACATTATCATATATGGTTGGTAACTTGTGCTCTGAAGCGTATGAATTTTGTTTATTTAAGCGGATAAATGAATGGTGCAAGACAAGTATCGTCAGAACAGGCATCGATTGGAACGTATCTGTCTCTGCCTAGCATATTGAAACACACACGAATTTCAACAAGCTCGTTGTGCAAACAGCGGATGGCCGCATCGACGCCAAGTTCCGCCTTGATTGCATTCTTGAATTTGGCCGGATCGACTGCTTTGGTGTTGTCCGGGACGATATCGTGCTTGGCTAGAGCTGCATAAAAGTTGTACCTTTTGTACAGCGCCAAAGCATTAGAGAAATATGCAACCATATCCTGGTATCTGGAAAAATTCGAGAAGCACTCGGGCCGGTTCGTAGACATGCAGGTGGCATGCACATTCCAAATATGTAGCCATAGGGGCTCGTTGTCTCCATCGGACGACCAGTATGTCCTCATGTTTTTGTACAGCGTCTTGTTCACAGTGCTGATGATTGACTCCACATTATCCACTTTACGGGAAGGGTCACAGCTGTCGGCGCCAGTAAGCGTGTTGTCGCATGTGTGTGGATAGAGTCCGTTCAAGCTGAACTTGTCCTCCGGCCCAACGCCCTTGATCCAAAAGTCTACAAGAGCAAAGATTCCATTCACTTCGTAACAGCAGGTGTCAGCATCCTTGATATTGGCTGAACAGGAGAGAGTGTCTTTAGGACACTTGTCACCAGACAACACAGCTATGGCTGGGCTAAATAAGAGAGTGCAGGCTGTGAGGGTAGTTAGCAGCAACTTCATGAGGTCAGGAATAGGGCGGGTGGATGAATACGGCATACTGATCTCATGTTGGAATTCGCCATGGTATTTATTATGACTTATATAAATCCATAGTAGGCAGTGGTATGGGAACATACAGACATCTAATACTCGGAGCAAGGTGGTATAGTGATTGACGCTGTGCCTTGGAAGGCGCGTTTATTGAGCCACACTCAATTGGCTTAGGAAATAGTATGAGAAGTCCCAGCTGGATAGTTGGTCTTCGTGGTACACACAGCAATGACCAATAAAAAAGGTACGACGGCTTGCATCCTGCAGCTTGCCCTTGCTGTAATCTCTGTGCTTCCTCAGCCGCGCTTGTAGCAAGGGGGCTGGATTTGGCAAGGCATTTGCAGTAAATATTGCCCACCAGGTAAACGTATACACTTCAGAAAACTCCAAGTGGTTTGTGGGGTGGAGCAAGCGCCCTTTGCGGGTCAGGTTCACCCCAAAGAAGGTTATAGAGCTCAAGTGCATGATAGCACATAGGCATGCGGTTAAATGTCGAGGGTTATACACAGCGCCACTAATAGGCACAGACAATGGGGTATCTATAGAGGGTGCTTTATTACAGAGCGACGGAGGGATTCTTAGCATGGAGGTTCAGCAGTACGGTGCCAGCGCGGTTTTTAACTGACTCGGGTCAAGGATTAATGGCAGCAGGGAGATCTCTTCCATGCTTGGATACGCCATCAAATTCTGGCTCTCCGGGTCGATTAGCATGGCTAACTGGCGCTGGCCCTCCTCATCAAGCAACGGCGCAGCCTCAGTCAAGGCGGTATAGAGATTTCCGGCGACCTGGCTCCACCAGACCTTGATGCAGGACAGCTGGTCGTCTGTTGGCAGAGCTAATGCTGGGACAGCGGCGACTAAGAGGGCAGTCCTGATGATGTTGGACATTTGTTACTGTGTGGAGAGAAACTGTTGGTATGACAACAAGAAACCGCTGCGTGGCAGGCGTTTTAGATGGTGTTTTATACGACAGGAGAGCTACAGTCTCTTTGAGGCCATGCGACCTTGCCAGTCATGAGACAGAGGTGTCTCGAGTCCAGATTTATTGCTGTATCCGCTTATCCAGCTCAGGTGCAACAGGCGAGAATTTGGCAATATACTTTTCGACTGCGTCCCTGAACCCCACACCCATGGCCACGCCTTGCACCGTGGGCACCAGCAGATTATCGCCGCCGCCCAGAACAAACGAATCAGTCAACACGGTGTAATTTTTGGCATCATTCAGCACGCCCCACTCAACACCCCGCATTGGCCTGTGGTCCACATTGCCGA